GAGATTAGCTCTGGAAGTATCTGTGGAGATGGTCTCTGGAAATATCTCTGGAGATTAGCTCTGGAAATATCTCTGGAGATTAGCTCTGGAAATATCTCTGGAGATTAGCTCTGGAAGTATCTGTGGAGATGGTCTCTGGAAATATCTCTGGAGATTAGCTCTGGAAGTATCTGTGGAGATGGTCTCTGGAAATATCTCTGGAGATTAGCTCTGGAAATATCTCTGGAGATTAGCTCTGGAAATATCTCTGGAGATTAGCTCTGGAAATATCTCTGGAAGATTGACTCTGGAAATAACTCTGAGGGGTAGCACTAAGGACCGACTCTGGAAATATTCCTTGGAAGAAAATCTCTAGGGAAAACCTCTGGCGAACACCTCTGTGAAGGATTTCTGTGAAAGATCTCTGCGAAAGACTTCTGTGAACAATCACTGCGAAAGAACTCCCGGGAGAATCTCTGTAGAACAAGAAAAGCCCGAATGATGGCTCTGAGATCGCTTCTTGTTCGGCACGCTGGGAAGATCCTCGTTGGGGCTCGTTCTATGCCTTGTTGTCCGCTCCTTGTTAACGCGTGAAGATCCCCGCTTTGCGCTCGGCCTCTTGCACTTCGGCGTGCCTGTAATCAGCACTTGTCCAGCGGTGGGTTTCTCTTTTATCCTGGCTCTTTGCTCGGCCTGCTGCTCGCTTGCTGCAAGTCTAGCCTTCCGTAGTATGGCCTTCCGAACACAGCCTCTGTTCGAATAGTCTCGTCTTTAGCACTGTCGAGCTATAAAAGCAATTTCACTGAGACGAACCTTCGCTGCTGACCTGTGAACCAGATTTGCACGCTGGTCTGTTTAGTCCTAATCAGCTTTCACCACGCGCTACCTGACCGTTCGGCTCGTTTGGGGTGCGCCCTTTCCTTCGCTGCTAGCTACTTGATGCCTTGCTGCTAGCGTTGCGATTTGCTGCTGGCTATTGGCGGTTTGCTGCTAGCTATTTGCGATTTGTTGCTAGCTATTTTGTCCAGCTGCTTCTCTGTGGAGCTTTGCGCCGTGTCGTCTGCCTCTTTTAGCTGTGCTTCGGGGTGCACGCGCGTTTGCTCAGATCAGCTACTATTTTTCTGGCCCCAGTCTCAGGGCTCGCCCCAAGCTCCAGGGCCTGGGCGTGGGTCTCAGACCTTGGGCGCGCGCCGATATTGCGACTGGGCCGGCTGGGGCTGGTCACGTGCGTAAATGTTGGTGGCCACACCTTTGTACTTTTTTTATCGCCTGGCACGGCCAGGCCTTTCAAAATAAAGCGGGCTTGTAAAGAACCGTGCTTTTAGCCTCGCCTGTGCGGCCACGCCATTTTGGCCCTGGCTTTTGTACCTTTCTGCCGCTGTGCTGCCTGTGAAACGTGACCTGTTCCACGTGTGCCGGAACAATGGCTGGGGCGTCGAATGCCCTGAGCCTGTGTCCTCGGCTTGGATCCTGCAATGTGTCCCAGGAACCTGAAAGCTGGGAGCAGTCGCCCAGGATCCCAAAGAAAGAAAATGTCTTTTTTTTTCTCTGGGATACTGTGGATGTTGAGTTGCTGTGGGCTGCGGCCGCTCGTATAATTTTGCACCCAACGCAGCTTGTATGAGACACACGGTTCTATATGGCCATGTTCTTCATGCACATCTTAAGCTCTGGTTATAGAAAGGCTCCTCTAGCCGAGAACCAAGACGTTTTTCTGGACCCATGTTTTGTTTCAAATGCACCATTCATTTCCGCGGCTCGGTACCGTTCTTTTCGTGCTCAAGGTTTAGTCATGCCCCCGCACATAAGTTCGGCGCCATAGACAGTCTTGCTCGCGCCCGCTGCCTTGAAGACTTTATATTATTTGACCGGCCAACCAACCAAGACCAAAGCTGGAATAATTAGAGGCAGACAATCAAGAAACCACATAATCAAGAAACCACATGCCGGGCCCGTTAAGACTCTGTCGCAATGCAGGAACCCAATCTTTCTCTCCCCTACAGGCATATGGCTGAAATGAAATTAATTATAGATCTATACAAGAAAAAAGCATGGGGGTCCGTCCCCGTCTAAATGTCAGAGTGGCACTCTCGCCGCGCCTAAAAAATCCAGCCAAAGCATTTCTCGTAAAACCACTTGATGTCCTTGGGGTTGCCCTCGGCTTCACGGATGGCCTTCTGCTCCTCGTCCCTCTCCTTAAACCTCTCCTCCTCGGCGTCAACAACATCTCTGTAAGTGACCAAGTCGATTTCCTCGGGCTTGCGGAACTTGGTCTTTTTGATGAGCTTGTATCCAATGTATGCGATGAAAAAGACGGGGAGGATGATGTATCCGGTGATGAACGTCTTGTATGGGAAGTCATCGCCCAAAAATACCGTGTAGTTCTTGATGAGGATAATGACGCAACAAAGGAAAAACGCCACGTATGTGCCGTAGGGCTGGAGTGGCGAGCGGTAGCACAAGTCTCTTTTCCTGTCAAATCCTTGCACCTTGAGGGCCTTCATGAAACGCATGTGGAGAACAAGAATGCATGCCCACGTGATCAAACCCGTCAACGACACCACGTTGATGAAGTACGTGAAAATGTCACTGGACGAGCTGTTGGTGGCCATGAAAGCCAAACAACTGAAAAGCGATCCGAGAGCAATACCGTACATTGGAACGCCCATTCTGTTTGTTCTCGCGAAGAACTTGGGGGCGTATCCGGCAATTGCAAGACCGTATGCGGTTCTGGAAGCAATGTACAAATCGGAGTTGGCTGCGGAAAGAACGAAAATCAAAATACATGCGTTGATCACATGGTCCAAGCCATCGATTTTCGCGTTCTTAATGGCAATGACGAAGGGAGAAGCCGAAGCGGTGGAGCCCGATGCTCCCAAAAGCAAGGGGTCGTTGTAGGCGACGCACATTCCCAAGAACAAGATCGACAAAATGTAGAAGAACAAGATACGGTAGAATGTCAATTTGATGGCCTTGGGAATGGCCTGTCTGGGTCTAGCACATTCGGCAAATGTAATACCAACCAACTCAGAGCCAGTGTAGGCGAACGTGGCAGTGACGAGGACCGACAAAAAGGACAAGAAACGGCCCTTGTCTCCTGTGATCAAAATGTTTCTGGAGGCGTCTTCGTAATACTTGAACGCACCCGGGTCCTGCCAGAAACGGAATCCAAGTCTGTCGTGGGTAGGGGCACCGCCCAAGGCAATGACCAAAAGCAAAATGATAAGTCCGATACAGGTGAGGACCTTGATGCAAGACAACCAGAACTCAATCTCGCCAAAGAACTTGACACCAAGAACATTGACTGTGATGATGATCACCAAAAAGATGGCTATCCACACACCAGCATTGACTTTTTCGACACTAACCCAGAATGACATCACAATAGACCCTGCCACCAATTGGTTCGCAGGAAGCAACAAGTATTTGATCAAATACACCCACCCACACGCAAAGCCGAGAGCCTCGTCTACATATCTGGTCATGTAGCCTGCAAAGCCATCGGCCAATGGGAGGAACGTAGCAACCTCACCCAAAGCACTCAAAACCATGAAAACAACAAACCCAATAAGCGTGTATGCAATAAAAATTCCACCCGGGCCAGCAGCTCTCAAAGCTGAACCGGTTCCTATCAATAATCCGGTACCCAATGCACCGCCAATGGCGATCATGGACAAGTGTCTAGCCTCCAATGCCTTTTTCAACTCTCTGCCCTCACCAGCCTGCGACTGGAATTGTGGGTTGGACATCTGGACTGACAAGTTGTACTCTGCCGTGTGCCGGGAGAGCACATCATCGAAGTCGGTTTTCTTCTCAATGTCTGTCATCTCTCTTGTTCAAGAAAATGGAGAGATTAATAGGACACAACCAGGGTAATAAAGCTGTGATTACGATTGTTGAAACGAACGACTATGAAAATTACAGGAAGCCGGGGTGCAGCTGAGGAAACACCCCGGATTTAAATAATCAAGTGGCAAGCTTGTCGCTTTTTGGGCTCCGCTCGCGTGAGCCAACTAGGAACTTCCCTCTTCGTGGCATAACTATTGCATCTCATCGCCAAGAAAAAGAACGGGCACGGCTTGCACACTGCCCCCGCAAGCTGCAGTACTGCACATGTGACTCGCTCTAGACTGAACATCAACCCAAGAGTAGTCTCCAAGACTACGATATTCTGTGCCATTAGGTAAAAATAACCATGCACAAACAGAATTAAATCGAGAATGAAGCACATCGCATTTCTAATTCCGGAGACAGTCTTGCAATGTGAGATGTGGAAAGACGCCTTGAAACAGAGTCATGTTTAAAGCACTTACCTCCCTGTACCGAGTATCTTAGACGCACGTACCTCCCTGTACCGAGTCTCTCAGACGCACAACAGCGTTTACAAGAGGAAAAAAACAATGAAAAAGAAAACCCGACTTCTGTCAAAAAAATGAAAGATTTCGCTTAAAGGAATCACCATTCTTACTGTGGTTTGCAAAGGCGATGTCAAAGTGCGAGTCCAAGTTAAATGAAGTGTTTGCTGTCGACTAGTCGCGTTTTAAATGTTGCCTTTAAGAATGTAGAAAAGACCCACAACCTTTTACATCGATGGAAGCGAATTCCCAAGCGCAAGACATGAGGCGATTTGCCAAACTTTGCATATTCCATCGTAACTGATAGCTTTGATACACTATATGCAGGATAGCAAATTGAATATGTTGTTTCGCCGTGCGAGGTTTTGCGGGGTCTCGCTTGAGCAGAGGCATGACCTGTGATGGTTTGTGCCCCGGGTTTGATCCGGGGATAAGGAGCCTTAGAATAGACGATTTTGCGGAGACTTTAGAACGCCTCTTTTTGTACTTTTTTTTATTTAGCGGAAAATAGCGGAAAATAGCGGGTTGTGTCCGCCACTGATCTGTCAACAGTCATAGGGCTTATGAGCAGCACATTTTGCGCGGCGAGCAGTATTGGTCTTGATAAGAGATTTGGTTCCTGTACATGTCCTTTTTCCGATGATCGGTGGAATGTTGAGCCCATGTCAGAAGTTGCCCTCTTTCAATTTCGGTACTGTATTTGCTGATTAAGTTACATACAATAATCTGTATTCGTCAGCTGGTTTTGGAAAAAAACAAAGTGTATCCCGCGCATTCTCCAATTGTCTGCGCACTGTCGAACATACTTGAACTCTCTGGGACTGGCATATCATTTCCAGGAACAGAACTAGGCATAAGAAGCCGCAAGGTGCACTGGTTTTTGTATTGGCTGGCGCCTAAAACACGCTCACCAGAGTCGCGGGCCTGTCTTATCATATCTTAGCGCACTCAATGCGCAATCTATCAAACTTAGATTAGCTATGGAATTCTCCATAAAAGAAGGCGCTGACACCCGGATACTATTCAAAACGAGCAGGGGCTGATTACAACATGAATACGTTCAGCGAAAAAGACCAAAAAAAGGAAACTTACTCTGTGGACGTCGAGCTGGTGAGCTATCCTAACAGACATTTCATTTCATCTGGGGCAAAAGATTTCGACGATCGTCTCGATGTTGAAAAATATGGTGAGACTAAAAGAAAGCTATCTCCACGTCATGTCTCCCTCATGATCATCGGCCAGAGTATCGGAACAGGGTTGTATATTGGTTTGAAAACACCGCTACAGGAGTCGGGCTCCCTCGCTCTTTTTATCGGATTCGTGCTTTGGTCGGTCACCATGGTATGGCCTTTGATGTTGGCGGTTGGAGAGATGTGTACATATTTGCCGATCAAAGGCTCGTTCTTGCATTATGCCGCCAGATGGCTTGATCCAGCCATGGGGTTTGCCGTCACTATTATCTACTGCTACACATCACTCATGTTCTTATGTGTTGAGGTGGTTGCGTTTGCATCGGTCATCAGTTATTGGACTGATGCCTCGCCGGCGATATTCATCACTATAGGCTTGCTTTCCATTTTGTTCTTCAATGTGTTTGGTGTCAACTGGTACGGAGAAATTGAGTTTGTTTCTTCTATTCTTAAGGTCATTCTTATTGTCGGACTCATGTTCTTCACTTTGATCGCCATGTGCGGCGGAAATCCCAACGGGGACGCCTTCGGATTCCGTAACTGGTCTGAAGGCGGACTTATTCACGAGTATCTTGTGTCCGGCTCTACAGGGAAATTCTTGAGTGTTTGGAACACTCTTCTTTATGCAGCTTTCGCATGTGGAGGGGCTGACATGTTGGGAATGATTGCTGGCGAGGTTTCCCAACCAAGAAAAAACATTCCACGTGCTGCAAAGAGAACATACATCAGAATCTACTTGTTTTACATTGGTGGTGTTTTTTTTATGAACACCTTATGCTCTTCAGTGAACCCTGAATTGATTGCCAACAGTGACAAAGCAGGTGCAGCTTCGTCACCTTGGGTTATCGGTATCAAGTCCGTTGGTGTGCAAGGTTTGGATTCGTTAGTCAATGCTGTGGTCATGACATCTGCCTGGTCGTGTGGAAATGGTTTCACCTATGGTGCTGCTAGAAGTGCCTATTCTGCATCCTTGGCTGGCTACCTTCCACGAATTTTCTCCAAATGCTTGAAGAATGGTTGCCCCATTGTTGCTGTTTTATTTTCCATGCTCGTTGGATGCTTGTCCTACATGAGTGTTTCTGAGTCTTCCAACACGGTTTTCAACTGGTTCATCAACTTATCTACGACAGGCATATTGTCGACGTACATGGTAATGTGGTTGTGCTACTTCAAATTTAGAAAGGCTGTGGTGACTCAAAACTCCGATCAATTGGATGACAAGTATTATAAAGTTCCCAAGTTGATAAGCCCATGGTTGTGTTACTGGGCTGCTTTCTTCAACTTCACTGTACTTTTCTTCAACGGGTTTTGGGCATTTTTCCCAGGGAATATATCTGTGGCCAACATATTCACCTCCTACTTTGCCCCTGTTTTCTTCGCTGTTCTCTATCTCTTCTGGAAAGTTTACAGGAAAACGAGCTGGAGATCGGCTTTAGAAGCTGATATCACCACGGGTAAACTCGAGATCGACGAAGAAGAAGCTTTGGAGAGAGACGAGCTCGAGGCCATTCCCAAAAAGGAAGGCTTTCTTTGGAAAGTTTGGTACAAAACTTGCGATGTTCTTTTTAGTTAGGAACATTATATATATACGTACTCGTTGTTGATCAGCGTATGTATAATCGAATTTGTCGTACTTTTAACTCCGTGATGAGATTCTGAAGGACTGAAGATTCTCGCCGCACATCTCTCAGCACATTGAAAAACGTACTTCTCAGTATTTCGCAACACCAGATTTGTATTCTCTTCACCCGTAAGTATGCCGGTTTTTCTTCTTCTCGCGAAACCCGAGATTCTGCCAAGACGCGATTTTTTCTTCTCTTGTCATATCTAATACATAGTGCATATACGGGCGGGCCGGCTCTGCGCGTCGTATTTCCTATGCAAGTCTCGATGAGATGGTTATCTCGCATTTCAAATAGATGATCTCAAATTCCGGTACAGAGTTCTCCAAGGTTTCTCCTCTCATGCTGACATCCATAATATAACAATGTCTGTAACATCGCATGTAAAGAGTGGCAATCATGCCCTGCATGAGACATCGTTACCGTTGCAATCTAGCGACTTATCGCTTGGTAAGCAGGATGGCCCTGCTCCAAATTATGTCTCCGCGGCAGAAACAAACGACCAGATTCTCCAGAGAATAAGTCCATTCTTCAGTGTCAAAAAAACCTCATACGGGGGCCGAGGATGCTTTACGGACAAGAGTATCGAGAAAGATACCAGTCTTTTGCAGGTCAAATTCCCTGTTGGAAGTGGTGTTGTGAGGCCCTTCCGCAAGGAAGTATGTATGTGGTGTTTTCACTACGAGAACGGACGGACCATGAAATTCCGCTTGTTGAATAGAATCTATTTTTGCTCAGCTGGCTGCCAGTCTGACTTTATCGCACATGACTTCGATGGCACGCTAAGTTCCACTATATGCGCAGCCGAGGAATTGTTCTTGAAGTGTTCGGCCGAGATTTTTGAAGACGATGTTGCAGATGATGTGGCCGAAATTTCCCAGATTATGGATTCTAAGTGGGTATCTGTGCTCGAATGGGAGAATCAGGTTTTCCGCATGAAGCCGTCCAAACGAACACCTTATTATCCCACTGTTACCGCAGAGGACTACACAGAAATCCAATACATCATCAGCACTCTTCATAACATGAGACGCTGCGAAAGCAGACGACTTTTAAGACAGCCCCAAGCTGCGAGTCAAAAGAGTCTCAAATATTTGAAAGAAATGTCTCCCGAGGAAGCCATGGATTTCGAACTACAGACGTACGAAATGCTACAGTCCTTAGAAGTTGAGAAGGTCAAAAGGTATCCGTATCTCTTACTGTCCTATTTAAACATCTTCAAATTTGTTCGTTTGGTGGCCCCCGAGAGCTGGTTGCAATTTGTCACCCCGCAAAATGTTCGGAACATTCTCGGACGCAACCTCACCAACGCATTTGGAATTTGGTCTGCGGTCTCGCAGAGTGAGGATAAGGAGTACTTTGGATTCGGCATGTACCCTTCGGCCTCGTTCTTCAATCATTCATGCGCTTCCAATATCAAAAAAGTGCGCAAGGGTGCTGGTTTTGAATTCATTGCGTCGAGAGATATATTACCTGGCGAGGAATTGTGCATAAGTTACGGCATAAAGGGCGACGAATCTGTGACCGAGAGACAAGAGATTCTCAGCGAGTGGTTTTTTACTTGTGCATGCTCAAGATGCAATAGTGAAAGGCCGAATTTATAGTAGTTGTCAACTATCCATACCGTACACCCCCAAAACGTCTTATTTGGTGAAATCGAATCCCTCGTAAAACAGTTTGAATTTCTGGCATTCGATGGTTTCCTGGCTCATTGATTGGCGGCATCTGTCCCACTTGATTCTTTTTGGGAGTCTCAAGAGAAATGCCAAGACTCTTCTCGGGAACTGCAAGTCCAAGCCCTTGCCCTCTTCCAAAGAGGTGATGTACATGGTCTTCGATTTTTCGGAAAAAATCGTGAACTTTATGAACCTGTCTGCATTTTCCAACTCCTGAAGCTCTGGATCTTCAGACAGGCACTTCTTGAAGTGCAACTTCGAATGGTGCTCGAAACTTTCATTGTTGATGCGGCTCTTCTCGTCGAGAGCTCTCTGGAATGTTTTACCGATAAGACCCCGCGGTACAGGCACCATCTGTATATGAAAATGCACATTTTCAGGGCGGCTGATTTCATAGAAAGCAACGTCGTATCCATTCTTAGCGAACGCATCTGCAAGAGATTGCATGTATTGCTCGATTTCTTGCCTGACGTCCTTCAGGTCAGGAAGCAATGGGGTATGGTCGATCGGGATGAGGATCGCATGCCCGGAGAAATTCAATGATCGAGTCGGCATGGTCAACGGCCCCTTGGCGACAGTCAAGTATGAGAACTTACCAATAGACACGATCATGTGAGACTCGAGCCTGGGGTTGGAGAGGCAGAAAAAACATTCGGATGGGGCTACTGTTTTGGTCCGCGTCTTGACAGGCTCGTCGTTCCCATCCCTCAGATCCAAACGTAATTGCTTTGTAGCAGGGCCCCCGTTTTCCTCTTCTATGGGTCGTTTTAGGTCCTCTAGAAATGGATTTGCGGATGGCATCTGCACTTCGTCATCGCCCGTTTCTATACCAAAAGCATAGAACCATTTGCTTCCTGTCCCTTCGCGTGACAATGAAACAAACCGGTAGCTTCGTTTCGGGCTCCAGGCTACCACAGGGTGCTCGTGAGCCTTGCCCATTTCCGAGCCTGCCGCAAAATGGTACCTTGGTTGCAACTGCCTCACGACAACGTCAACAGCACGATCACCCACCAAAGTAAGCCGTTGGTCGGCTGCGATGCAATAAGGCCAGTTGTACGAGAAAAGAATGTCGGCCTTGATGGAGATGTCAGTTTCGTTGGCCAGGGCCAATGTCTCATTGAGAAATGCTAAAGTCACCCCGCTGTCAAGCTTCAAAAGGGCATTCCGGCTCGTTACACATGTGAAGTTTGGAGATACATCCACAAAACTGCCCTCTTCATCGGACTTCCCGAAGAAATACGTGGGGGCATCGGGACTCGTGACTGGCGACTCTGCAGGAAGACAGCATCCCAACAAGACAATGGCCAGAAAGGGCCCGTTTTTTGCGTGCTGTACATTGGCCTTTTTTATGATGGCATCGAGTTTGGCCGGGTCTGGATATAGCACCAAGAACTTCGATTTCATTGTTTTTCCGGGGTTGTTACCATCATGGACTGGAGATGCCCAGCTCATCAGCGGGCGCACATGCAGGCCACGGTGCAATCTCCATGCCGATCGGCGTCGAAGGGTGCTGAATTCGGGATGAGCCCTGAGTAAATGCCGAAAATCGGGGTTGAAATTGGATGACTCCGGGAGGGAATTTTGAGATCGTAAAACAGAACTATTATTGGGAAATTGTGGCCCGGTAGCTAGGAGGCATGGTACAGTATCATACTGCCATGCTGACTCTATATACAGCTCAGGTCGAAACGAAAGCGAAAGCAAAACGAGACATAAAAACCGGGCTTTTTCTGGTAGTCAAGCGCTTAAAACAAGGCCCGATTTGTGGTAAGTCTCCGGGAGAGTCTGACCATGCCAATCGTCCGTTCCATCAGTCCACGACGTCTTGCACCGCAGGCGCCGCACTAGGGCTGGAGACCTGGGATGCACGCGCGCACGTGCCCATTCTCCTGCACCTGGAATGGCGGCCCGCGCCCCCACGGCTGTCTGCAGTGTTGAAAATTTTGTCCCTTCTCGCGAAGAAAAAAACATCAGTAGCAATTTCTGTTCACTATTAGCTACATCAACAGTATACAAAAATGGGTAAATCGTATGTGTGAATATGCCCCCATGGGCCCAGCCACACCATGTGCGTGTTATGCGTATAATGGAGCTTCTGCCAAAGGTCCCCGAGTCCCAGGAGAACAGTTCCCAGAAAACCCTAATTCTGCATCCAGCCTACCGGGTCTTCATCGACCAGCATTTCAATCCTGAAAAGAGGGTCTATATAAACGGCCCGCTTTGAGAATGACGATTTGTGATGGTACCACGTAATGCTGACATGCTCTGTTATCGAAGTGCATCGCAAATTTTCTATGATTTCGGGCAGATTTTTACTGGTCACACTGTCCTCATATCCCTCAGCTTGATAGACAGCATGGCAGTGACCCCCCATACCCCCTACTTTCCCGCCCACTCGGAACCCTGGACAAACAGCAAAAAGCAATATACTAACTTTCTAGACGCGGTTACAGATCTGGTACTCGTTACATGTTCCAACGTGACTTCAAGAAGCACGGAATTGTGAACTTGTCCACCTACTTGACTATCTACAAGGTCGGTGACATTGTTGACATCAAGGCCAACGGTTCCATCCAAAAGGGTATGCCTCACAAGTACTACCACGGTAAGACTGGTATTGTTTTCAACGTCACCAAGTCTTCCGTCGGTGTCATCATCAACAAGGTTGTTGGTAACAGATACATCGAGAAGAAGGTCAACTTGAGAGTCGAGCACGTCAAGCACTCTGCTTGTCGTAAGGAGTTCTTGGACAGAGTCAAGATCAACGCCGGCTTGAGAGAGGAGGCCAAGGCCACCGGTAAGCAGGTTGTGTTGAAGAGACAACCAGCCCAGCCAAGACCAGCCAAGATTGTGTCTGCCGACGGTAATGCCGCCCAGACCTTGGCCCCAGTTCCTTACGAGACCTTCATCTAAGCTCAGCTGTATAAACTCACTTTAATACAAACATCGTTGCACGAAACGCGTAGGCTTTTGGAGAGGGCATTGGGCCTTTTCATCTTTAGGCCCTGGCTAGTTGACGGAACGTCTTTTTGCAAGGAGAGAATGCTCTGTGTCTTTATTAAAATTTGCAGGTGATGTTCGAGAATCTGCCGTTGTGGGAAATTGATGGAACGAACAGTTGGGCTGTGCTCAGTGTGGGCTAGTCAAAACTTAAAGTGAAAATAAAGTCGGCGATGCGTTGTGACTAGTCTTGTGAGGCAAAAACCGAAACACTTCACAATCGACGGTAGAAGCTTGGTGTGTGTTGTTTTTAGTGGGGTTCTCAAGCGCACCGACTTCTCAAATAGCACTGGTAGGTTAACTAGGAATGGCTCTTTAAATCAGCACTGACATTTCGCTGACACTAGCTTACAGTCAGCACTGCATTCCATTCACTGAGTTCCAGCAGACACAACATAGCATTTCCGAGTTCCGGTGCTTGTAGTTCCCGCGGCACTCGAACTGAAGTTTTGCCCGAACTGTCCTATCCCAGACTCCTGTGATCCATCACAGATTGCCCAACATGCTGACGTAGGCTGCCTCTCAACTATCACCACTCATTTCACGTCCATCCTACCACTAGCCGAATCCAAATCAAGGGTACTTCCATACCCCAAAACAGACTAGGGCACAGATGGCACGTCATCGCATACAAAGACCCGGGAAACATATGCACAAGACAAGCGTTTCCCCGAGTCAGCCTACAAGTATCACCTTCCAAAGGGTCAGAATTTCTTTAAAGCGTTTGTGTTTAAGTAACAAGAATGGTTGCGCCAAACACCGTCACCATGAAAACCCAACACCCCCGTACGGAGGAGCATTTCCAGAGGAATCGGCGCCCGAAAGCGCCAACTCAACTCCAGAGGGAATTGTAAGGACATACGCGAGACTTCATCATGTTTTATAAAACTTGGAAGGTCATATGGCCAGAAAAACGAACGCTGGTGGGCATCTGCGCGGTTATATAGTGCCGCGCCGGGTAACGCCTATTCCGCACACTGGTGCGCAGTACTAGTCCGGACTCACCTCACGAACCACTGCCCTTTGCAGTATTGTGCAGTCCCTCATCTCGGAATCTTTCACCAGTCCAACAAATCAGCCTGTCGAAAACACACCAAGATGGCAAAAAGAGAGGCTTCCAAAGCATCTAAGCGTGCGGGAAAAAAAGCAAAGACTGCCAAAGTGACCAACGGGCTTCTTTCAGAAATCGAAATCGCGTCTTTGGTCTCCGAAACCTTGGAGAGCTCCAAGTACAATAATCTTGTGGAATTACTAGCACAGTATGAAGAGATCGAGAGTGTTTTGAAGCAAACTGAGGATGATTCCGTGGAGCAGAATGCCCGTTTCCTCACCTTGAATCTCTACAAGTGCTTCGAGAAGTTCTTGACCGAGCACACCATGTCCTCAGAAACAAAAAACGAGAAAAAACAGCTTGTGGCCAAATGGTTGCAGGACAAATACTCCAAGTTCAAAGAGGTTTTGTGCCATCTTGTACAGGTCCAGTTGGTCTTTTCTCTGTCTCTCCAGTTGGATGCCTTGGATGTCATGTTGGGGCTTGTGAGGCTCGAGGCCAAGGATACCAACGAGTTTCCTGTGGACACATACCAGGCCCTTGTGAAGCTGTTGCTTCTTAGTGATTGTGGAGACGTTTTGGCGGACGAGTCTTCGGGAAACTTTTTGTTGCTCGAGTTCGTCGACAAGTTCACAAAGCACTGGGACTTGCAGGTGTACTTCTTCGAAAAGTCGCTTGCAGAGACCATCTCCGGCTGGAAGTCTTTGAGCGAAGAGAAGAGAGTGCAGCTTTTCAGCAGCTATTACACGGTCATCAAGGAAGGACTCTTATACTCTTCTGACACCGACAGCTTGCGTGACGCGCCAGTCTTCACGGGCATCAAACTTCCTTCGACGGCATACAAATCCAGCATCAAGACAAGGTACCAGAAGTGTCTTTTGGAGATTTTGAGGATCACCGAGCTCTCCCCTGCAAAATACAAGGCCTTGCTTGCGATACTACACAAAAGAATCATTCCATACATGGGAGTCCCCGCTGGGCTCATGGACTTCTTGACCGATGCGTACGATCAGGAGGATGATGCGGTGGTTCCAATTCTTGCTCTCAACTCTCTCTGGGAACTCATGAAGAACTACAACTTGGAGTATCCCGATTTCTACACCAAGCTTTACTCCCTCCTCACGCCCGATCTCATGTACACCCGGTACAGGTCGAGGTTCTTCCGGTTGTGTGACTTGTTCTTGAGCTCCACGCATCTTGCGGCCAACTTGGTTGCTTCCTTCATCAAGAAGTTGGCACGTCTTTCGTTGGCTGCCTCTTCGCCTGCGGTTGTCATTGTTATTCCGTTCATATACAATCTTCTCAAGAGACATCCCACGTGCATGGTGTTGCTTCAAAACACCTCTGCTGACTCTGAATACACTGATACATACGACGATGCAGAGAAGGACCCGTTGAACACCGGGGCCATGGGCTCTTCGTTGTGGGAGTTGGAGACGCTCATGAGCCACTACCACCCTAACGTGGCCACCTTGGCAAAGATCTTCAGCGAGCCTTTCAGAAAACCCAGCTACCGAATGGAGGACTTCTTGGACTGGAGCTACTTGACCTTGTTGGAGAGCGAGAAAACTAGAAAGTACAAGGGCATGGCCTCTTTGGAGTACGAGGACTGGTCCACGCTCTTCAGTGAGGGCAAAGGGGAGAAGCTGTACATTGAAGGATGGTCTTTTTGAGCAGCTCAGGGTCAAGAAGGAAAAAGAGATGCTGTGCATCCAAGAAGGTGGGTGCCCCGCAGCTGTTTGGGTGCATGATCATTGAATTGATGTGATTAAATTGGCCAAAACTGTGGGATGCGATGATGAGATGCAAATTTGCCGTACGGTGCCCGACTTGGCGAAACTTAAATATGCGCAACAGTTGCATTATGTTTGACGAGCCCTTCCCTTCCTCTTTTTATGCAGAGGTGAGCTTTATTATTTCGATACCAAGCCATGAGTCGAAGTACTTGGCTTCTGGTCTTCGGGCTTTAGTTTAGGAAAACAAGTACAGCATATATTACAAGAGATAAGTGGTGGATATTGGGGAGATAAGTCAAAGACGACTCATGAGACTTATTCGATGATTTGAGTGTTGGAAGTATGATTCCCAGGAAAGAGATGGGAGTTACGGAGAGCACAAGTTTCTGATTATCTTCATTTTTTCCCACACCAGTAGGAGTGCTCCTCCTAAACGCCGCAAGATTCTTGAAGGGCTGGGGACAGCCTTTTGAGATACCCTGATTCGTAGTTTCTTCTTGAATAAGTGTTGAATCAGTTGAACCAGTGTGCGACAGCTTTCCATAGTATGCTGGAGATTCAGAAAATTATCAACCAAAGAAGCGGGGAGAAGTTGGTATGTTTTCGTGAAATGTGTTATTAGGGTAAACATATGGGGTGTTCCAAATGGGGGAGATTATTCAACTGGAGTGATTTAGCTTGGACTCTGGTGCGTCACATTGATGAGAAAGGTAAAGAACTAGATGGACGTTGGCCGACTACAGAAGAACCAGAGGTCTGAGTAAATATGGCAAACAAACACGGATTAGAGATTTTTTAAACGGGCGGTAGCCATAAAAGATCAGGTTTGTATGATGGAAGTTGAATGTTTTTTTTGGTAGATTCATCTGATTAAAGAAGCAAGACTATACTAGTATTTATACAAGCCCTTAAACAGCTCCCAGATAGTTACCAAGTGGCTGTTCAAAAAATTTGACCTGACTCCAAGCTTCTCTGCTGATGGCCAGGTAGATGGCTAAAGAATTTGTGATACTACATCTAGGAAGAACGAAGATATTAGCTGCTGCCAGATGATTTTTAAGCTGGTGGCCACGGAATTGAAAATCAGAAAAAGAAATCGTGCCTGTGTAGATTTTGTCTAAATTCCAAGACATAATTTGAGGTGGTAAAACTAAGTATTGATGGAGAAACTTGAACCGCATTGAAGTGCAGCATTTACTACGCCATCATACGAGTCTTGTCAGTTTCAGAGAAGCACATAGATCATGCCTCGTTAAGCACACCAAGGTGCGAACCCTTCTAGGAGCCGAATACTTAATTGATCGGCATTCTTGTGAAGGCATCTGAAAAAGGGCCTTTTGCTAGGGCCGCGAGTACGTGTCTAATGGGTGTAGTAGTTGAGTGAGGCCCTCCGAACAAGAAGATTCTTCATGCACGCGTCTTTAAAAAAATCAGCTTTGGATTCAAGCGGCATTGGGCTTCGCATTCGTGTTTTGACATCGGAAAGAGAACATGCTTCAACTGACTGCTGATAATTACTCACGACAGAAGCAAATAAGCACTGTATAAAGGCATGATACAGCACTGCACAAGCGACATGATCCAGCACAAGAGACGTGATATGACGCGGGCTACTCAACTATAAGCGTGCTTGGTGTCACTTTACGAATTGTACAAGACTGCTTCTTGCTTTTGTTTTGTTTTCATTTCGTTCTTCTCCACAGAGTATGTATGAGGCATCAGCCACACTCACACCACCGGCTTAGAAGCTGGACTGGATCAGCCCTCCAGAACTAACCTATTCCACCCTGCTTAATAACACCATTTCAAGATTGAAAAGGAGCAGCCCCCAGAACTCATTTACCAGGAAGCATGACGACCATCGACCATGGCTTTACATGGCACAGTCATCCTGCCTCTTCTGGCCGCACGGGCCTCATGGCGCGCATGGAGTCTGTCGCCTCACCGACAGGCCTCTGCAATAGCTTCATACGCCAGCCCCAAACACCAAAGACAAGGAAAAACAGAACCAAAAAAAACAGCAACAGAACCGAAAAAAAGAACAAAACCACAAACAAACAAAACAACAAACAAACAAACAAACAAACAAACAAACAAACAAACAAAACAAGCAAACAAAACAAGCAAACAAACAAACAAAACAAAACCCGCAAATGCAATCTTCCGAAACATTCGTCCCGCCTCTCTCAATGGCAGGCGAGGCGCGGTCACGTGACCTGGACGGCGCCAGGCGGCGCGTCCCATCCTCACCGTAATTAAACCGCTTTGGGGAGGACCGAATACGCGCACCGCTGCCGCGCAAGGAGAAAAAAAAACCACCTCGTTTCCCGCCGTCTTTTCCTGGTCTCACAGAACAGCCTTACAAACACGAGGATTTCGGCCACGAAATCACACGCATCACCCAGCCCACACCGGAACGACCCCACGAACCAGGCCACGTGACACTGCCGCTGCAGACCCGCCGGCCAGCCCCCAAAAACAGCCCGGCGCGAGCCTGTCCACCCCTTTCCCAGGGCCCCCCCCTTATTACCACAAACACACACCCCTTTTCCATGGAAGACGCTCATTTTGACCAGCCCGTCGACGCGGTGTTCGGCGACCGCGTGCGGCGCTTCCAGGAGTTCCTCGACCAGCTCGGCGGGCTGGGCACCAACTACCGCAACGAGATCAAGGACATGCTTGCCAAGGGCCGGTTCCGGCTCTCCGTTTCTGTGGACGAGGTCCGCGAGTTCGACGCGGCGTTCTGGCGCGGCCTCTTGGACTCGCCCGCCGACTTCTTGCCCGCGTGCGAGCGGGCTCTCCGCGACACGGTGTTGGCCATCTACGACCCCAACGACGAGCGCTTTGCGCCCTTGGACGACGACCAGCAGTTCTACGTGGCGCTCCGCGGTGCGTTCGGCGACCACGCGGTCACGGCGCGCACGATCACCGCCAACCACCTCTCGCGCATGGTGTCGCTCGAGGGCATCGTCACGCGGGCGTCGTTGGTGCGCCCGAAGGTGGTGCGCCTGGTGCACTACGCGGAGAAAACCGCCCGCTTCTACGCCAAGTCGTACCACGACAACACCACGTCGTTCGACGCGGTTGCCACGCCCGCCGTGTACCCGGTCGAGGACCCGGACGGCAACAAGTTGACGCCCGAGTACGGCTTCTCCACGTATCGGGACCACCAGAAAATCGCGGTCCAGGAGATGCCGGAGACGGCGCCTGCGGGCCAGTTGCCGCGCTCCGTGGACATTGTGTTGGACGACGACTTGGTGGACATGGCAAAGCCGGGCGACCGCGTGCAGATCGTCGGCGTGTACCGCGCCATGGGCGGCGCCTCCAACAACGCGCTGTCCTTCAAGACCGTGGTCTTGGCCAACGCCGTGTACCCTTTGCACGCGCGCTCCAGCGGTGTGGCGGCGCACGAGAAGTTGACCGACAACGACGTGCGCAACATCAACAAGATGGCGAAGGAGCGCAGGATCTTCGACGCCTTGGCCCAGTCGTTGGCCCCGTCCATCTACGGCTTCGACTACATCAAGAAGGCCGTGCTCTTGCTCCTCTTTGGCGGCATCGAGAAGAACTTGGACAACGGCACGCACTTGCGAGGCGACATCAACATCTTGATGGTGGGCGACCCGTCCACGGCCAAGTCGCAGATGCTCCGCTTCGTGTTGAACACCGCGGCCTTGGCCATCGCCACCACCGGCCGGGGCTCCTCGGGCGTCGGTTTGACCGCGGCCGTCACCACGGATAAGGAGACGGGCGAGCGCCGCTTGGAGGCCGGTGCTATGGTCCTTGCCGACAGGGGCATTGTGTGCATCGATGAGTTCGACAAGATGTCTGACGTCGACCGGGTGGCCATCCACGAGGTCATGGAGCAGCAGACCGTGACCATCGCCAAGGCCGGCATCCACACCTCGCTCAACGCCCGCTGTTCCGTCATCGCCGCGGCGAACCCGGTCTTCGGCCAGTACGACGTGCACAAGGACCCCCACAAGAACATCGCGCTTCCGGACTCGCTCTTGTCCCGTTTCGATCTCTTGTTCGTCGTCACCGACGACGTCAACCAGGCCAAGGACAGAACCATTTCGGAGCACGTCTTGAGAATGCACCGCTTCGTGGCCCCAGGCTTGGCCGAGGGTGAACCTGTGCGCGAGCTGGGCTCTGTGTCGTTGGCTGCCGGCGTCGAGGAGGTCGACGACGGGGCGGAGCAGCCCGTTTTCGAGAAGTTCAACACGCTTCTCCATGCCGGCGTCGCCAGCAGGGCCGCCAAGAGTGCAGCCCCCACCATCGTGTCCATCCCTTTCTTGAAGAAATACATCCAGTATGCCAAGCAAAGAATCAAGCCTGTGCTCACGAAGAAGGCATCGGACTACATCGTTGCCACCTACTCCGGCTTGAGGAATGGCGATCCCTCCGAAAACAACAAGCGTACTGCGCCTGTCACTGCCAGAACATTGGAGACCTTGATCCGTTTGGCTACCGCTCACGCCAAGGTCCGCTTGTCCAAGACCGTTGACGTCAAAGATGCCAAGGTTGCCGAAGACTTGCTTCGCTTTTCCTTGTTCAAGGAGATTGCCAAGAAGGCCAAGCCCAAGAGAAGAAAAATCGCTCTTTTTGGAGAAGAACCCGAGGTCGAGGACGACGAGGAGGAAGAGGGGGACGAAGAGGAAAGCGAAATGGAGCCCGAGCATGAAGCGCCTGCTGCTGCTGACAGTACGGGGGCCTCCCAGGTATCCGAACAACAGGCCTCGGAAGTCGCTCAGGACTTGGAGGAAATGCATCTTACACGCAATGCTCCTTTGCAAGAGACGGATCCAAGCACAAACTTGTTTAGCGCCGAAGCGAGCGATGGCATAAGCCCGGTCAGGTACGAGAAGTTTCTCGCCATTATGAGCAAGCTTCTCGTCTCGGACTTATTCGCCAACGAGTCCGGCTCCTGCGCTCCTGAGCTTGTTGTGGCTGCGATCAACGAGGACTTGCAGCAAGAGGAAGTGTTCAGCCCTGATGAAATAAACAGTGCGTTCGCGCAGATGGAGAACGAAAGCAAGCTCATGACCGGTGAGGGCAAGGTGTGGAGAATCTAGATGCTCTGTAATCAAATAAATAAAAAACGAAGGAACAAGTGACTCCAGTAGCTGTGCGATTGGACAATCTTCGCCATCGCATACTGATTGTCTCAAACAAGTGTTGCCTATTAACCCACATCAAGACGGCCTATGTCTAAAATCGATGCCTGAATACGTTAATACATTGAAAACAATTGTCAAGGGGTGAAAGAAATCTTTTACACTTTCAAAATCAACTGTTTGGTAATTACTTCCGAATCTTCGCATCCAAAGCATCTACAGAATAATTTTCATAAATTTGCTGAACATTCTGCCAACGAAACAATTATTGAGAACAGAAACGATGCTTAAAATTTGAAACCAGAAATTGATTTCCCACAAATACGGCTACGACCTTGCTCCCCTCTTTCTAAAGCAGCCAAACAGTCAACCCCTCCAAGAGGCTAGCTGATTTTAATTTATACCCGTATGGTTATGTTTTAGTCTTTTAGGCAACGCGTGACTGAGATTCAACGGGCCTGCTCCGAATACCCTAAACAAGCCCCAAAGGTTTTTAGCTTCATTTGAAGCACAAGGAGAAAAAACCTCGAGAAACTAAGTCCAAACTATTTCAAGATTCATATTTTGCTCCATTGACGGACACAGCCTACCCGAGAAAACAAACTGATCTGGGCACATCGCGCGTCTGCTGCTGATGCTCATCATGTCTAAACCACGCAGGTATACCATACGAACCTAGAAATCTACCTTATTGTCATCTTCAAGTTCGAAGTCACAGTCACAGACCTGAAATTTAACTTAACTTTTCACAACCCCGCATTCTTAATCCTCAATCCCGTATTATACCACAATTTGACATGTCTTGCTCAGATTTTGAGATCGATCAGGATGATGAGCTTCTTATGCACACATATGCCACGCTCCCCACTAACTGTAAAAAATACTGGAAAAAAAGGTACCTGCTATTTTCAAAGTTTGACGAAGGAGTCTATTTGACCTCGGAGCTTTGGTACTCGGTGACACCAGAAGTTACTGCACGAGTGATTGCGAAAATAGTGAAGAATATCCTACCAGACAGTCAATACATCCTAGATGTATGCTGTGGGGGTGGGGGAAATAGCATTCAGTTTGCTCAGATATTTCGGCACGTAGTGGCTGTTGATATCAATGCAAACAATGTGAAGTGCTGTCAACAAAACAGCATGGTCTATGGAGCTGACCTCAATACATCGTTTGTATTAGGGGATTGGAATTCTCTAAGTGAGACTTCAGACTGGGTTCCAGAAATTGTTCCAAACAAAAAATTTGACTTCGCTTTCTGCTCGCCTCCATGGGGCGGGCCTAAGTATAAGTATCAGGATACATTTGACTTAGAAGCTATGGAACCTTTTAACCTATACCTGCTCTGCTTGAGCATGAGTAAATTCACCGAGAATTTTGGTCTCTTTCTCCCGAGAAACCTGGACTTCGACCAGATTCGTGAGGTGACTCGAAAATTATTCGGACTGAGGTTTAAAACAAGAATAGTGTGTATTTGGCAGAACGAGCGACCACTAGGAATCATGGCCATATTTGGCCCATCTTTTCATAGTCATATCTGATAGCTTGTAGCCAAACAAATAAATTATAGACTCCCTTAATGAAAAAAGAAAAGTGAATTTGATTCGCAAGAGAAGGTATTGTAAAAAAAAAGTCTGAATTAAAGACGAGCCACAAAAAAGAAGCCCGATGCGGGGCTCGAACCCGCAACCTTTTGATTGACCTTATGTTTCTTAAGAGTCAAATGCTCTACCGATTGAGCTAACCAGGCTGTTATTGCTTCTTGTTATGATACGACATGAGCCAGATTATAGATTCTGGGCATCCTGTATAATACGAAGGACGAAGAGTCTAAACATTCCTGATCGGGGTTACCCCTCACCTACTGTATAGAAGGGTTCCGAACTATAAAGGAGCGTGAGGCTGAGACATCCCTGAAGAAGGATAACACTTTTTAGACATCGAGAATACGACAGATAGACTAGGCCTATCCACTAAGGCTGAACTATCTATAAACCGATCTACTCGTAGTTTAAGAGACAGCTCCAGGCTGTTTCATAATAGTTGGTAGCGCCGCTTAGTTACGACCATGGGAGAAACTACAATGAGCGCAGAGACAAATAAAGACACGTCGACCTTGACC